GTATCTCGGTCCTTCCAAAATTGGGAATAAACGGAAGTACACAGGAGAAGCTTAAAGGCAGTTATCCTAACCTATAGTCGGTTTAGAAATGAAAGAGAGTAATAAAAGCTTATTATGTATGCAAATCGTAAATAAATGTAGTACNGGTTCAGCCTTCATTTCAATGGACTAATAACTGAGCAGCGACTAGGGGACTGTTTCTTTACCAGACAATAAAAAAAACTCGGGGCAAGAATTTCAAAACGTGAATACGTCTCGATACTTGGAAAGTTGCAATTAGTTCATCTAGCAATCTTGTAACTAAACAAACTGCAAATAAGTTAATTTTTTGTTTGTTTTGTTTTCTTTTAGTCCAACCAAATTACACTTGGAGAAAAAAATAATTGTTACCTGGACTTTTATAAGTGGAAATGGTAAAAGGGCTTATAATAAACCTAAAAAAAATAAATGCGCGAGCAGGGGCGGCGGAGGGTTGATTTGGGGGGTTGAAAAGTTATGAAAAATTGTATCATTGGGATTTCTGGCGAAAGTTCACGTCAAACAAAGAAGTATCCTATACAAAAGTTGTAGATCATGCAAAAGTCTACAACTTTTGTAGAGGTCACTTTTTAACATAACCTGAAAATTTCCGAGAAAAATGCGAAAAACAGGTATTTTTCTGATTTTTCGTTTTATATTTCTCATTTCCCCAAAAATAATTTAATTTCGACGAAACTTGGTGAAAGTATACCTTTCTCTGTTTTAAATAACCTCAAATTTTTTTAGATAAAAAAATCAAGAAGTTTCTGAGATATTCATTTTTTTCGGTCTGAAACACTTTTTTTTAAAGAAAAATTCTACTTAAAAAAATCATCGTACAGAGTTCTGCCGGTAATAATTTTTTTTCGTTTTGACATATACTCTGGTGAAATAAAAACATCTGTAATAACATTTCAAAAACATGCTCAAAAATGCAAAAAAATTAAAAATAACTTACAACAATGAATTTTTCAGTTATTGTTGATAATTTGTTTAAATTAAAAAACATTCAAAAACTGATTACACCATTCAATTCTACGGAAAAAAATAATGAAAAAACTGTCTCATTGTTTGACCCAAAATTTTATTTTTGTACAGTATTGCTATAAACATCGAAGTCGAATTACAAATGCACAAATAATAAATTAGTTCAGGATGATTTGAGATTTCAGCAATATAAAGTATTAACTGCAAAGTCTACTGTTGACGCAAAATCCGAAAACCCGAAATTTTGCAAAATCGTTTAATTTTTTTTTGGCTTTATTTGAAAACGAATTTTAAATAAATTTCATATTTACATTGTCACTTTTTTCGCTCTATCCAATAGCGTCAACATTTTTACATTCCTACGTTTCGTCTTCGACGGGCCATCATCAGATAATTTTTTTTAAATATATCGCTGCCATTGTTATGACACAATCTAGTCATTTTTAATTCTGTATTAGATGATATTACTATTGTAATCACTTAAAAAGGTTTTTAGCTATCATTAAAAATTTTTCCTGAGTACGGCTCTGCGTTCAAAATACCTGTATCTATTGGAGGAAAGAGAGAGAGAGAGGAGAGAATAAAAGTCAATACAGCACAATTCAATCCAACAATTTTTTTAATCTAAATAAATAAATAAATAACCTTTATTTTCCTTAAAGACTTTACAATAAATTATGGGAATAGTCAATAATACAAAAAGGGAAGATAAAAGCCATAAATTCTTATACTAAAAGAATTCAGTAATGTTATATATACATTTGTCAATTAAATAATATTTTAACTTAGATTTAAACCTACCGAGATTTTCAATCATTTTTATTTCCAAGGGCAAGTTATTAAACACCCTGGGTCCAAACACGAAAGGAGACTTTACAGACACATTATAATTACTATAAGGCACACAAAAAGTATTCCATTGTCTAGTTTTATATGTATGCAAAGCACATACTTTGTTAAAATGATTTTTGTTATTGAAAAAGAAAACACATAATTCAAAGATGTAAAGACTCGGAAGCGTTAATATTTTATATTCCTTAAAAATATTTTTACAAGATTGTCGACTTGTTACACCTGCTATATATCTAAGAATACGTTTTTGTGCCACAAATACACTTTTCGCATTTACGGAATTTCCCCAAAATATTATACCATATCTCAGCCTAGAACTGACTTGTGCATGATACAGGCCCATGACTGTTTCCCACGGTAGTACACGCTTCAAATTTCGAAAAAGATAACACAGTGAATGTAGTTTGGATGTTAAATTATTACATTGTTCCTTCCAATTTAGGGAATCGTCCAGTTGCAAACCCAGAAACTTAGCACTCTTACATTTAGAAATAGAGATATCATTGATGTTTAGATCTAGCCCTGCACACTGCTTCTGCCAATTATGAAATCTTATGTAATGAGTTTTATTGACGTTAAAATAAAGGGAATTTGCTGCGTACCAATTAGCGACGTCATTAAGTATATTATTGCACTTGACTTGTAACGACTCATCTATTACATGAGAAATTAATAGAGATGTATCATCAGCATACATTGTTAAACAAGCGTCATCAACTATTTTCGCGAAATCATTAACATAAAGCAGAAACAATATGGGACCCAAAATCGAACCCTGTGGGACCCCCAAATTAACAGAAGCACGCTACGAATTTATTTTATTCGCAATTCCATCTTTATAATGGGT